CTTGGAAGACCATGACTTCTTGGCTTCTAAGGCTCCCATAGTACCAAACTCGCGTTTCAAGCCCACCGAATCGCCCCACCCCACCGGCGTTCCCCCGCCCATCCACTCCCACCGATGCGCCTGGACCAGGCGCAGCCCTCAAGAGGCTCAGGGCGCGCTGCCACTGCCCCGACTCCCCGCAGGCGCTGATGGCGGCATTCCGCGCGATGGCGTCCTGGAAGCTTCAGATCAAACGGCGAGGGCGTCGAACCTGTCGCACCAAGGCACCAAGGTGCCGTTGGACACCTCAATGGCTGACGGCTGTTTGCCCACAAACTTAAAATGAACCACCAAGCAAGCAAAGTAAAAGTGCATGCCAAGGAAGCCTAGCCGAAACCACATGTAATGTAACGTGTGTGCCCCCCATATGTACTGAATGTCTTTACAGCCATAAAACATTCTAAAACAAACACAGAAAATAACACACTATTTGATCAGGGGCAAGGTGATACCCCACGGGGGCGTGACCATCTTCGATCCTTCACCTCCAAGAAGTAGAGCGATCTACATTTTGGGCTGGGGCGCATCCGAGGAATTGTCGTTTTTTCACTGAGGATTTCTCATTTGCCCCAAACGTGAGTTTCCTCTTATGTCTCGAACAAATTAACGAGCAAGAACAACCCAGGCAAACACCCCAAAACCAACCCTGAACCCAGCCTCAAACCCCCCACTCCCCCCTGGCAAAACACTTGCATATATACATATATTTATATGTTACTTAAACTTACAATCAATCAAATATTCTCAACCCCCCCACCCACCTCCCACCCCGCCCCCCCACCCAAAAACAAGAAGAACGAAAAACCGCCGTCCTCCCCGAGCTCTTCCGTGAGCTGACCAAACAGCGCCAGTGCGTGCTGCCACTGCAAGCAGGCGCCGCAGGCGCTGATGCCGGCGCTCCAGCTCACTGCCTGCCGGAGGTCCCGAGGAACCGTGGCCTTTTTGGTGCAAATGCCTCAGAGGGGTGGTCCAAGGGGGTGGGCTGTGAGGAACTCGAAGGAACCCGAAGGAGCCCTAAGGAACCTGTCCTCTTAGAAAAAAAATATGGCCCTGGTAGATGATTAAACCACGTGGCAAACCAGGAATCGCTATCTATTTTTCGACCAAAACAACCAAAAAGGACACCTATGCTCAGAAGGGTGGTCCAATCCGAACAAACCCGAAGGAAATTTGGGGAATCCGAAGAAACCCGAAAGGCTCTCAACTTCCCATCCCCTTGTACCTACCCCCCCCCCCCCGCCCGCCTAGAATGGTGGGTTTCTCAATAGGGGATGTGCATCTGGGCTTGTCGCAAGAACTGTTGGGGTCGCTTTAGCTGAAGTAACTTCACCGGATCGCAGGGCTTCTTGAAAGATACAAGTGGGTGCATCCTGCTTGAGGGACCTTTTGGGGGGTTTTGAGGGAAACCAACAGAAACATCACCCTCCTACCCCCTAGTTTGACACCCGTTGAAACACAACTTTTGAAAATATATACATACATATATATATATATATATGGCTGCAAATACTTAAAACGTTGAAGGGTTTGCGAAGCGAGCAGCTGGACTCGATAGATCCACCGTTCTATACATGTTGCAAACAAATAAATCGAACACCTGAAATGGATGGCTCGTCTTTTGTGGAGGTGGTACCCCAGCTTGCGTGCTTAAAGGGGAACCACCATTTGGTTTGAGGGTACCTTTTTGTGTGCTGTTTGCTCAAGGGAAGCCAAGAAAAATCAAGAAATCCATTTTGGGGAATCCGATCCCCTACAAAAAAGACGAGCCACCGAATATTGATTTTCAGGGTTTTCACTCACCCCCTCCCCCCACAAAAAAGAAGCAGGTAGGCTCCATGACCCTCCCTAATGCTAGCTTCGGACGAATCTGAAGGACTACTAGTGGTTAGGTGAACCCGCCACAAATAGATGTATAATGTCCTTACCAAAAGTGGAATGCTGAGTTCATGAATGTTGATGAAAGATGCAAACTCTCAAGTCACTCACAAATGAAACTGAATCAAAACCACCCCCACAGCCCGGAAGCTGGTCTTGTGGCGATGGCCGAGGAAACGTGTCTTGGCGCCTTTTTCATAGGTTTCTTCTCGGAGGCATTGTCCCCCTGCAAGAAAGACATCGCCCATGTCGTGGGCTAATCACCTTTCCGTGATACCAAAGTAGGTCGTTCCGACGGCTACTTGAGACATTGCCCGAGTTGGCCTGTGCAAGAAAGGTCTAAAGTCTTGGTGTGCCACTGGAAATGGGCCCAAACCCCCCAAAAACATAAACTTGCGGGTGCTAAGTAGGGAATGCAGGAATGAACACTGGAATTTCCTGAAAGTTGGATGGTTTTCTTAGGTTCATTCCATTTCTCATTCCCGGCATCTCTCGCACCGATCGCAAGTATGTACCTCTGGCTACAGTGGATGCTACCAAGGGATGGCTTATAAGGGTCATTCCCTCATTCCCTGCATCTCTCGCACCGATCGCAAGCAAAGTCCAGTTGAACTCGGGGAGCGCGTTCATCACTTCCAAGCTTCCCTGTGCCTCCGGCCCCATGCGGCTGGCCAGCTGGCAGCAGAGGTGCAGAGCTGATTCCCAGTCACCCGCCACTTCGCAGGCATGGACCTCAGGGAACGGATCGCATGCCCCTGATCCCATTCTCACTGTTTACATGGGTCCCAATGGTCCCACATCCAACCATACGTGGGGAGTCATGCAAACACAAATCCAATAAACCCAAAAGAGTGGGAGGAGTCAGGGCATGATTTTTGCTCAAGTACATCAACTCCACACTGCGACTAGACTCAACCAACTTTGGCTGCAACCATGGAAAGAATTGGGGTAACTGGGGGCAGTCTACGTACCATGGTGTCCCCAATCTACTTGCTACGTTGGTTGAACAAGAGGTGTCGAAAACCCCGCTCCCTCCCCCACAAAAAAGAAGAAGAAAGGACATAATAGGAAGCCGACCCCGAAAAGGTAAGGCGAAGAGGCCCCCGTCACGCGTCCCGAACTTCGCACCAAGCGGCGGCGGCGCCATAGGACACTTCGTCGGCGGCCAGCCGCGCCATCTCAGGGAGGTGGACATGTCAGCATGCACCGCGCAGCGCACGCACAGCAGCCACCCCCCTTTCCACTAACATGGAACCTGGTTGAGGGGTCCTGGAAAACTATCATCCTTTAAAACGGTCACTCTGGTGGGTTCCATTTTGGTGGACAGGGAGGCACCCTCTTACTGTAATAAATATCGTTCTGGCCCCAGGCGTAATTTTTATTTGGGGTGAAGAGGAAGTCACACTGCAAGACCCTCCCCTTGGCCATCATGGCATGTCTGCTTGTTTTTTGGCCCCTTGACGCCAATTCGACGTACCGGATTCCTGAACATGTGGTGAGTTGATCACAGTTGCCCAAAGGATCCAGAAATGAACGGTTAACCTTTAGGGACCTTTACTAAAGAAAGACCAAAATGAGAAAACCAAAAGGTGAAACGATCAGCTGTAGGCAACTTTCTTACACCGCGCCAGAGGGATACTCAATCAACACGGTCCCCGTGCTGAACCCATTTCATCCACCCGAGGGAGACTACAAGGAGCCCATGAATGCTCCGATCTAAGCGCGGCTTCGAGCACAGAGTCCCACCTGAAGATCACCCAAGAGCTGACACGCGCGGTGCCAGTGGCCAAACGGACCGCAGGAAGAAATCGCGGAGTTGTAGCTCACGACGCTGGCCTCTCCATGCATCACCTCTCTCAGCTACAAACTCACCATTTGTTGGTGCATTTTGGAGCTACTACACTTCTCACCTTGGTTTGAAGGGGGAAACCCCGAAAAATTGAAAACTGTACAATCTTTGGTGTTCAAGTCTCTTGTCGCATACCCCAGAAAAACGAGCCAAGGGCAAGCCGGAGCGCCTGAATGCTGGACCGGAGGTGCTCAAAGGCGAGCAGCGCCTGCTCCCATTGGCCTTCGGGGGGTGCATTTTTGAGGGTAATGCAGGAGCTTTCAAATGGCTGTGGGTCAAAAATAGGTGCCCAAAATGGAACCCTGGTAAGTGGAAACATGGACGAAAACCTGCGGTCCCCCCTGTGGTTTAATTTTGACCCATTCCCAAATAACAATGGGGCTGTGAGGCGCTTTACAACCATATTTGTTGCGTCTGCTATAAGGGAGCCCCCCCCCCGTGAAAGTCACTTTGCTTTTACAAGGGGGACCAAAAAGAAAGCAAGCAGTGTCCTATTTGGACACATACCCGTTCCCCCCCCCCAAAAAAAAGCAGCCCACCGAAGAAAAGGGCGGTTTGAGTCACAATCAAAAACTGGCAGAACCCACCATGTAAAGAACAAAAAAGGCACCCGAGTTTTGGAGGCTCTTTATGGGCTAAGTCCCCGTTACTTGCCCGCATGAATCTCACAATCTTGTTTGCTTTGGTGTACCATGGAAATGTTAAACAACAAATGCAGAACGTTCACGGTACTGCTTCACCCTTTGTTTTTCATGGCACATGCGCAAAAGGGAAAGACAACTGCACTTGCCAGAGACCTAAGCATAGACGGTTGAACTTTGGTGACCTTTACCAAAAGTGCACCCAGATTGGAAAACCCAAAAGCTTGAACGGCAGGCTTTGAACAACCACTCACTTCCTTGTTGGGTTGGCCAGTGTCCAAGCCCAAAAAGTGACTAAAGTCCAGGAACCCAAGAAGTGAGAAGCAAAGAACTGGTAGCCCCGAAAGAAGCAGCTCCTGGGTCCCCCGAACCAATCAGCTGCCGTAGCGCGGTGGTTGTGTTCCGGGGGCTGTTCCCATTTGCCCGCAAGAACCAGGGGGCTCAAATTCCCAAAGCCAATCCAAACCAACCAAGGGTTGCCTGAAGCTAGACAACGGAGTTCCCCGTCCTATAAATCCATACGCAATGGAACGAGAAGAAGAAGAAGAAGAAGAAGAAATATGATGATGATAATTGGAATTGGTTAGCGGGCAGCTTCTTGTTCCCAGCGATTTCACCTTGTACAGGCAGCCTTTGGGAGGGATCATGGTAATAATAATTGTGAGAACGCGCGGGACAGAACAAAACAAAACCATCGCAGGCCTGCGCATGCGCTGATGGCGCTGGTGTAGCTCACCACGTTTAGCTCCACCTGCAACTCCTCGAGGGCCCGCAAGGCCGCCAAGGCCTATGAGGCGACGAGGCGTCGGCCACCCCATGGTACCCCCTAGTTGGTGCTTTGATTCTTGCGGAGGTAAATCAAGGAACCTCAGGACCAAGATCGGTGCAGGGCGGGGGGGGGGGGGTTACTTGAATTGAGGGTAAATCAACGACTTCCATTTGCTTTTCAAAAGCGAAAAAGCGAGACATGTCCGGTGATACATTCCCTTTAGAACCAACAAAGGGAAACAAAAAAGCGTGAAAAAAGACTATGGGAACCCCGGAAGACCAGCAAACCACCGGGCTCCAAATCACCAGGTTTGGTGGTGTGGAGCCCGGTGGTTCTGTGGTCTTCCGGGGCGATAAAACGCCCTTCGCCCTGGCAAGAACTGGTTCCAAACCGCCAGTCCAAAACACAAAGTAAGGGTTACCTGAGTGCTGACCCCCAGGTTGTTTTTTTGAAGAAAAGAAAATGGCATAGTTGAACACCCATGGTTTAAACCACCAGTTGTTTCAACCGGATGCCGGTGCCTGGTTTTGATTTCACATGAGTTTAAGCTAACTCCCTTTGCTGCTTGTCCATTCTCAAAAGTCACCCCCTTAGGTGGTAGGCTAAAGGGAGCCAAACCCAGTTTCTGACTTTGATAACCCCTAGAAACCGTCCAAACAATGACTTCTGTTCCGGCAAACTTGCCTTAGGGGTTGGGCCAGCGATTCGCCTGGCCAAAAAGCAGCGATGAAACGCACACAATTTGCTTCAACAACCTTTCGGTATTTCCTGGTGATTCTGGTGGCTTCTCATGGATCAAAGGACACAGAAATCAATGGTCGACCTGTTGGGCCACTGAGACTTTGACTGGGGAAACGAACAGGTCAAATCCGGTCGATTCGCTAACAACTGAGGTGCCCATGTGGGTATGATGTTTTTTTGACGCTGGGTTTCGAGGGCAAGCCAAAAGGAACACCGCTGCGCCATTTTGGAGGGTTCAAATGCTAAAGAAAGACCCATACCCCCAATGATGGTTTTCCTTGTGGTTGCCCTTGAATTAACCCCAAAAAGGGTCCAAATCCTTCAAAACAAAACAGACCCCAGTTTGGGGGGTCCAATCCAGCAAAAACAAAACACACCCCATTTTAGGGGGTCCAAATCCTGAAAAAAAAACTGCCCTGGTAAAAACCCAGAGGAAACCAAAGGAACCCCAAAAAAAACAACATTTTCGAGGGGACTCGACACCCCTTTCGGCTTTTCCAATGGAGCCATGATAAAGCAGCCCCTGGTAAAACCCCAAAGGAAACCCAAAGGAAACCCAAAGGAAATCCAAAGGAAACCCAAAGGAAACCCACAGGAAAGGAAACCCAACGGAAACCCACAGGAAAGGAAACTGCAGGAAACCCAAAGGAAACCCTAAAGGAAACCCAAAATTTTCGGGGGGAATCAACACCCCTTTCGGCTTTTCCAATGGAACCATGGTAAAACAGCCCCTGGTAAAACCCCAGAGGAAACCCAAAGGAACCCTAAAGGAAACCCAACATTTTCGGGGGGAATCAACACCCCTTCGGCGTTTCCAATGGAAGCCTGGTAAAACAGCCCCTGGTAAAACCCCAGAGGAAACCCAAAGGAACCCCAAACGAAACCCAAAATGTTCGGGGGGAATCAACACCCCTTTCGGCTTTTCCAATGGAAGCCTGGTAAAACAGCCCCTGGTAAAAACCCAGAGGAAACCCAAAGGAACCCTAAAGGAAACCCAAAATTTTCGGGGGGAATCAACACCCCTTCGGCGTTTCCAATGGAACCATGGTAAAACAGCCCCTGGTAAAACCCCAGAGGAAACCCAAAGGAACCCTAAAGGAAACCCAACATTTTCGGGGGGAATCAACACCCCTTCGGCGTTTCCAATGGAAGCCTGGTAAAACAGCCCCTGGTAAAAACCCAGAGGAAACCCAAAGGAACCCTAAAGGAAACCCAAAATTTTCGGGGGGAGTCAACACTACTTCCGGCTTTTCCAATGGAACCCTGGTAAAACAGCCCCTGGTAAAACCCCAGAGGAAACCCAAAGGAACCCATAAGGAAACCCCAAAAATTTCGTGGGGAATCAACACCCCTTTCGGCTTTTCCAATGGAACCCTGGTAAAACAGCCCCTGGTAAAACCCCAAAGGAAACCCAAAGGAAACCCAAAGGAAACCCAAAGGAACCCCACAGGAACCCCACAGGAAAGGAAACTCAACGGAAACCCAAAGGAAAGGAAACTGCAGGAAACCCAAAGGAAACCCCAAAGGAAACCCACAATTTTTGGGGGGAATCAACACCCCTTCGGCTTTTCCAATGGAACCCTGGTAAAACAGCCCCTGGTTAAACTGCAGAGGAAACCCAAAGGAAACCCAAAGGAACCCCGAAGGAAAGCAACCCCGAAGGAAAGGAAACTGCAGGAAACCCAAAGGAACCCCAAGGGAACCCCACAGAAAACCCACAATTTTCGAGGGGAACCCCCGCCCCTTTCGGTTTTTCCACCGACTTCGCCTGCTGCCACTCGCCGTGCCGGGCGCAGGCCCCCAGCGCCTCGCTGCAGCTCCGCGACGGCAGCGACCGGAGGTGCCGCGGCGCGGCCTGGAACCTGGCGCGCCGTGGGCGGCGGCGGCGGCGAAGCCGTCTTGGACGGGGGGTTTTCTAAGGGGTTGATTCCCTCAAAAGCCACACTCACACACACACACCCAGAGGAGATGGTCTGCGGCTGTTTTAAAGGGAAACATGTTTCTAAGGGGTTTATTCTACGGAGTGCCCTCAAACCGTTTTTCTAAGGGGTTGATTCCCTCAAAAGCCACACTCACACACACACACACACCCAGAGGAGATGGCCTGTGGCTGTTTTAAAGGGAAACATGTTTCTAAGGGGTTTATTCTGCGGAGTGCCCTCAAACCGTTTTTCTAAGGGGTTGATTCCCTCAAAAGCCACACTCACACACACACACACCCACAGGAGATGGTCTGTGGCTGTTTTAAAGGGAAACATGTTTCTAAGGGGTTTATTCTACGGAGTGCCCTCAAACCGTTTTTTCTAAGGGGTTGATTCCCTCAAAAGCCACACTCACACACACACACACCCAGAGGAGATGGTCTGTGGCTGTTTTAAAGGGAAACATGTTTCTAAGGTCAAAAGCCACACTCACACACACACACACACACACACACCCAGAGGAGATGGTCTGTGGCTGTTTTAAAGGGAAACATGTTTCTAAGGGGTTTATTCTACGGAGTGCCCTCAAACCGTTTTTCTAAGGGGTTGATTCCCTCAAAAGCCACACTCACACACACACACACACCCACAGGAGATGGTCTGTGGCTGTTTTAAAGGAAAACATGTTTCTAAGGGGTTTATTCTACGGAGTGCCCTCAAACCGTTTTTCTAGGGGGTTGATTCCCTCAAAAGCCACACTCACACACACACACACACCCAGAGGAGATGGTCTGTGGCTGTTTTAAAGGGAAACATTTCTCTAAGGGGTTGATTCTATGGAGTGCCCTCAAACCGTTTTTCTAAGGGGTTGATTCCCTCAAAAGCCACACTCTCACACACAGCCAGAGGAGATTGTCTTTTTTTGAGGGTACCCTTTTGGTGGCTGTTTTAAAGGGAACAACACACATGAGGGCACCTTTTGGTGGTTGTTTTAAAGGAAACCAAAGGGCAAAAATCCATGAAATCTCCAGGGTTTGAGTCCCATGCCGTCCTTTCTCAACCAGCGTTCTTTTCAAATCCAAGCGTCCTCACTGGGTTTCTTGGGGTTTTCTAGAAAGAAGGAATGGGGAAGGTACCCCATGAGTCTTGATCGGCGCCGGGGGAAAAAGACAGCGACAGCTGGCCAACAAAACTCCCACGGTACGTAACAAAAGACAGTGGTTGCTTCGCATTCAGTCAACCTGTTCCTTTGAAAACAAAAGAAGCTGAGAAGCTGAGGGGACCCCAGCCCCAAGTCAGTCTTGGAGGTTTCCAGGAGCCGAGCATCCAAAGAGAGGCATGCCTAATTGTAGAGAGAGTCCTTCGCTGGTGGGATTCACCGTAATTTACCATGGTGGGGTTTGGTGTACTTGCAGTGCTCAGTTGCCCTTTAGGGACCTGGATCTACGTGGACAAGATCCTGCACCAGTTGGGATGCAATTTTCTACCAGCCAACGATTCATAGAACAAAGCAAAGACGAGACCAAAAAAAAAGCATATATAAGCCTCCATTTGCTTAAGTCCCCGGGAAAAAAACAGAAACATCTTCCAGTAGTGAAATCGATTCCCTTAAAAACCAACACGGGAAAATAACACATGGTAGTCTACATCAAATCGCGTTGAAATCGCTCTGCCCGATCCCTGGCTCTGTCGGCCCTGTCCTTCTTATACAAAATGAAGCACATTATCAAGCGACCGCTTTTGGCTTCGCACAAAAAAATCCAAGCCATGGCACAACAGCGCCAGTGCCGGTTGCCAGCCGCCAGCGGCGCAGGAGCCGAGGACCGTCTTGAAGATCACCAGGTTGGGCCGATGGGAGCTGAGCGAACTCCTGGGCTCATCTCCGGTGAAACTTGTTGGCTGGGTCTAAACATGATGGGGGCTGAGAGGGGAAAAATGCCCTAAGTAAGGGCCGATGAAGGGCTGAATAAGGCCTTACTTGGGCTCCCTCCCCCTCCCCTCCCCCCCAACCCACAAAACAAAAAAGGCAGAAATTAAAAGGTCTGTTAGTAAGCTTTGAAAAGACTGCCCGCTGTCCACCAATCATAGAAGTGGACAGGAGGCCTTTTTTTTTTAATGGCAGTCTTCCGAAACCGCTCTTGTGCACTTCCATACTTCCATGACTGTCTGAAGAAATGAGGGCAAACACTTTCCACGAAAGAGGGACTGGACATGAATCGCCTGGCAAACCATTCGAACATGCGTGCGGAAAGCCAGGCCAAACATTTTCCCGAACAAAACCCCGAAAATGATGTTCATTATTATGTTCCATCATCATGGTCCTCTTCATGTCCAGCTTCTGTTCATCTTCATGTCCCTCATCATGTGCCTCCTCATCATCCTTTTCATCATCATCGTCGTCATCATCGTCGTCGTCATCATCGTCGTCGTCATCACCATCACCATCACCATCACCATCACCATCACCATCACCATCACCATCACCATCACCATCACCATCACCATCATCATCATCATCATCATCATCATCATCATCATCATCATCATCATGATGTTCAGCATCATCTCCATCATCAAGTTCATCATGCATCAATCATGTCCATCTTCATTTCCATCATTCTGTCCATCATCATTTTCATCATCATGTCCATCAATCATGCTTATCACCATGTCCATCACATTTTTCATCATCATCATCATCATCATCATCATCATCATCATCATCATCATCATCATCATCATCATCTTCATCTTCTTCTTCGTCTCCATCATCATTTTCATCATCATTTTCATCGTCATCAATTTCCATCATCACTCTCACCATCACATCATCATGTTCAACAACAAGCACGTGAAGGGAAGACTACTTTCCTTATGTTCACCCCAAATGAATAATCCCGTCGTCTGTGGAATTGCCGGGGAGTGTTCACTCCAAAACCGAATCACAAAAACAAAAGGTGACCCCCCCCTATTCACCAACCAGGCGTTTATGAATCACCCCGTCGTCTATGGATTTGACGGGGGGTGGTCCCTCCAAAACCGAATCACAAAAAGGTGACACCCCCCCCCCTATGAACCAAACGCGTTTATACCTGACTCCCCCAACCAGACTGCCATTTGCTTGAGCCCCCTGGAAAATATTCATTTTTTTCCAGTAGTGAAATCGATTCCCTTTAAAAACCAACCGGAAAAATAATAATAGAAGAAGTATGCCCAAGCCAATCGAAGCAGACCTTCTGCTTGAATCCGGGGTTCCCCCTCGGCCAAGGATCAGCTGGCCGAGCGCCAGCGGCCACCGCTCGAAAGCCGCCGCCATCGCGGCGCTGCGCGTCACCAGCGTGGGCTCCAGCGCCCAGCGGGCGCCGAGGCGCAGCAAGGCCACGGCCCGAGCCCAGCTGCTCCGCAGCGCGAGGCAGGAGTTCAGGAGGAAGATGTTGCACTGCAAACCCTCCTGGCGGGATGTATGTATGTGTGAATGCATGCATGCATTGCATTGCATTGCATTGCATTGCATTGCATTGCATTGCATTGCATTGCATTGCATTGCATTGCATTGCATTGCATTGCATTGCATTGCATTGCATTGCATTGCATTGCATTGCATTGCATTGCATTGCATTGCATTGCATTGCGTGCTTGCGTGCGTCCGTGTGTGTGTGTGTGAGTGTGTGTGTATGTACGCATGTAAGTGTGTACATCCTGGCGGGAAGATGTTTCGTGTTTTTTAGTTGAAAAACAGTTGCAGACATGTTTGCGCAGAACTAATGTGGCTGAAATGATGTTGCTGAAAAATGTTGCATGGAACTATTGTGTATTTGTGTACGTGTATGCAGGTAGGTTGGTGGGTGGGTATGTAGGTAGGTAGGTAGGTAGGTAGGTAGGTACTTAGGTAGGTATGTGTCTAGGTGTGAATGCATGCATGCATACATGTGTGTATGTGTGTATGTGTCTGAGGTATGTGTGTATGTATGTATGTATGTATGTATGTATGTATGTATGTATGAATGTATGTATGTATGTATGTATGTATGTATGTATGTATGTATGTATGTATGTATGTATGTATGTATGTATGTATGTATGTATGTATGTATGTATGTATGTATGTATGTATGTATGTATGTATGTATGTATGTATGTATGTATGTATGTATGTATGTGCGCGCATGTGTGTGTGTGTGTGTGCATGTATGCGTGTATGTATGTGTGCATGTGTGTATGTGTATATGTATGTATGTATGCATGCATGCATGCATGCATGTATGTATGTATGTATGTAGGTATGTAGGTATGTAGGTATGTAGGTAGGTATGTAGGTATGTAGGTATGTATTTAGGTATGCATTTAGGTGTGAATGCATGCATGCATACATGTCTGTATGTGTGTGTGTATGTCTGTGTGTTTGTGCAGGTATGTGTGTATGTATGCATGCATGCATGCATGCATGCATGTATTTGTTAGCATGCATGTAGAAAATATGTGTGTATGCATGTATGCATGTACAGAGGTATATCTAACATATGACAATTGAGGATACGTAGACACGCGCGGCTGCATACCTCCTGTTTATACATATGGGGGCAAACACGCAAATAATTTGGCCGTTTGCCAACACACACACACACGCAAAAGGCTTTGAGGTATTTCTCTTGAGCAAGGTTGTTGCTTCTTCCCTGCCCTATCCTCAGGCCTGCAGCAGCGCATCTTTCTTCACCCCGCGCGTTTCAGTCTCTTCCGGGGCTGTGGTTGGCTCCCAGGACGTTCCGCGGATTTCCCCCCGGTGGCTCCTGGCGCAGACCTTCCAAGAGCTCCAGGCCGGGCGCCCAGCCGCTCGCGGTGCTGCAGCCGCCGAGGGCGGCGTTGTAGGCCACGGCGTCGGGCTGGAAGGAGCGGTCGCTCAGGGCACGCGTGGCCGCCTGAGGTCTTCACCGGCTGCTTTCTGCTCCCCGGCTAAAGTCTAACTTTTGGTGGTTTAATGGAAAACCCCAATAGTTGGCAAGTAGTTGGGGTCCTAACATCCAAGCAAAATGCGCCAAAGTTTGAACCCAGGGCTCGTTTCGGACCCGTTTGTGGCGCCGGACAAGGTAGAGGTGCCTCTTCTGTTGACTAACCCCCCCCCCCAAAAAAAAAAAAACATGCTCAAGCGGTTCAACCTGACAACAAACCGGCGGTTCATGGGAATCATCAGGAGTCAGTATTGGATTGGATATGTTTGGATAGAATCTGGCGCCTCTAGTGAATCTCCTCCCCCCCCCAACACAAATTCACGCCACACAAATGCACACGCACACACAAAGACCCCCCAAAAGCAGATTCCTCTAAACATGGATGGGGGTGGTCAACATCTTGATCTGCAGTGTAACGCTGGATTATTTATTCCGACTTGAAAGCGGGAGGCAGAAGTTTCGCACTGAATCGGCCTTCCGGTGGCTTCCCATTTGTGAAAACAAACATGGTGTCCCTTTCTCACTTGCCGCTTGGGGACCTAGAAATCAAAGGTGATCACCTTTTGGATCCCTGACTCAACATGGGAAAGCAACAGGGTAAAATAGGTCGATTCGCGTTGGACAGGTCAGCTTTCGTTTTGAGCCGGCCTCACACTGATCCTCACAAGGCCAGCGTGTTTTGTTTTTCCCATGGGCGCCTGCCAATGGTGTCCTGCACTGAGCGCGGAGAGGAGAGAGCTCAAGGAGAAGCGATCGCCCTGCAGGGACTTGTCATTCAAACCTTGGCTAAGCAGCTCCCTTAAGGGACGAAGCGTGGAATGCGTCAACTCCGTTGCCCCGTAATGTTGACCCCGGATTAATAAACCCCTGTTTATTGATATGGGGGTGCCCCTGGTTTTAGTGATCACTTTTGGAGGGGAATACCCCCATAATAATAAACAGGGGTTTATTAATCCGGGGTCAGCATTGAGGGGACCCAGGCAAACAAGGCGATCACCTTTTGGGTTGCCATGGCTAAACCTGGGAACCAACACAAGACCGAAACTTGTCAGATCAGACGGTCGATTCGCTTCGGCCGCAAGTGAGTCGTGAATCAACCAAGCGCTGGGTTGATTGGCCGCGCGAACGGCCAGCTTGCCCAGGTGCCAGAGCCAAACATGGCCAATAGCAAATTGCCAATCGCAAGGCCTCAAACCTGAGTCTCAACCTGCAACCCCCTGACGTCAAAAGTTGATTGCTTTGCTTGCCGCCGCATTGCGTCGCTTTGCGGACAGTAGATGCAAGAGGCTTCATCCAAAATAAACGCGGGCAAAAGGGCAAAATAGACATGCTTTGCTCGTCCTGTTTTTTTGACAAGCCGGCGTCCAAACAGGCCCGCCGCAATGCTCAACCCTCGTGGAAAAATGTCGGATCCCTTGCTAAGAATTACACTTTTCGTGGGACGCGCTGGATGCCAGACATCTCCCCAAACATTCATGCTGGACAGGCTGAAGCGCCTTTTCTGTCCAAGAAGCCCCCCACCAGGTCCAGGACTTCTGGCCACCTTTCAGCTTTCTCACACGCGTTCGCGGCCGCGTTGTAGGAGATCAAGTTCACTTGCAATTCCAAGGCCTCCGCTCGAGTCCTCAGGCCGAAAGCATCCGAAAAAGCACGTGGCCCCCCCTTAAAAAATCTGCCAGAGCAAAGGAGGAATCGACCCCTGCCTTCGCCAATTCAAAGCAAACTGCTTGGATATCACCCTAAACGTTCGTACTTTCAACAAGCATGAGACAGGAGACATGGTTTCTCCAACCATCGCGATGTTTCCCCGGGTGCTTTGCGGTTTTCCACAAAGAAGGGTCTGGAAAGAATGGGGACAATGCCCCTAAAATCCAACCTCGCATTTCAAACATGTTTTATTGCTCAAATCTTCAGAATGACGAATACTCAAGTGCCAATCACATCTTGAACTCATACTCGAGTTTTCTATACAACAAATTATTGATGCCATTGCCTCACAGAAACGATCCACAAACATAGGCTCATCATACAGCGGGGCCAGAGGAAGGGGTATGGCGGTATGATGGAGCTGCGCCAAAAGGGATCAGTTCAAGAAAAGTAGCCGTTCCCCGAACCCCCCCTCCCCACCCCCAAAAAGGAAACACGGCACAACTGTGTCACAACCAAAACCTTGTACTGAAGGGGCCTACTCGAACCCATGTAAAGAATCAAAAGCGCAAACATCAGCGCCTATTTCGGGTTGGCATCGTTCCCTAACCTGCAACGCAGGGTTTTCCTTTAAATCCCTGCGGCCCACCTTGTCAACATAGCGACGACCCCCCATGTTTCGTAGTTTCCTTTGGCTTCCCTTTAAACCCACCCCCGAACATAAAGACCAGCCACCCATACTGAAACCACCCGTGAGGAGAATCCCATCCGAGTGAGATATCCAACTATCCTCATGCTACATTGATGCTATACTTTCCACTCCCATCCTGAGATACTCCAATGTTTTTTTGACGCCCTACTTAAAAACACCAAGGGAAACTAAAACAAATAGTTTTAGTCACTTCAGCCAATGGAGGCTTAACCCTTTTTGCAGGACACGGGTGTCAGCCACCAACTTCGCGCCAAGGCTCAGCAGCTCCAGGGCCTCGCGCCACTGCGCCTCCCTGGCGTTTGCCCCGATCGCCCGGCCAAAGGCGACCGCCGTCGCCTTCGCCTCGCCCATGGCTCGCTCGGAGGCGCCTTCGGCTGGGCCAAAGGCCTGCGGCCCTGAGACGCTGCCATGCTGCCAAGGGACCAAGGAAAACCGAATCCCGGCACTTTGTTTTGGCAACTTGCCAGTCCCCAAAGTTGACGTCATTTGCCGATTCCCCCAAGTTTGCAGTCAGTTTGGCCGTTCTGTGGGTGTGGTTGGTTTAAGTTTATGTTTATTTCCATGGGATGGCCTTGTGTGAAGAAGGATCGGCATGTTTGCCCTCCCACGAACGTGGAACCTACCACACAGGGTCCTGTTTAGACGAGAATTGTCTTCTAGGACCTCCCTGTTAGGGAAACTGGCGGCACCTTTTGGTCGGCCTGCCCAAGGGAAGCCACAAGCTCCTCTGGGCAGGCCTGGCAAACCAAATGGAGACAGCCTTGCATCTTTGATGTTGCAGGGGCGCGCAAGACTCCAAAACAGTCAAGCTTCGTGCTGGGCGAGTGCATCCTTTTGGAGAACCCCCTCCGTTCTCGCCTGCGAATTCAGCAGCACATGCAGGTGAATCCAAAGTCCATCCCCCAACGTCGCAAGCCCAACTCGCAAACTTGTCCTGAAGCAGGTCACCGTGATATACTCCCTCTATACACCCTTGGCCCATGTGCAAAGGCATTTGCATACGGGGCAAACCGAAACCCCCCAGAAAAGGGGCCAAGGGAGTTTTGGACTCCCCACCTGTGGATGCCGCCTGAAAAAGGGACATCGAACATGTTGTCTAGAAGGGCTAAGTTTGTTTCTGCGTGCAGCAAAAAAACCACCACCAATCCCCCAAAGACCACCTCCGCAATTGGGAAAATACCCACCTGTCAAAGTAACAAGCACACACCGGAACCCCCCCCCCTCCAAGCGAACAAGTCCGGGTTCATTCGCCCCCCGTCTCTACTCTCCGATTCTCCTCTGGCTGCAACGATGACAGGCCTGGGTCATCCTTGCAGGCGGCCTGAAGGAGCCCCTGATGGACGAACCCTCCCTCCCCCCCCCTGGGATAGGCGGGGGGGAGGAAGCCTCACGCTGGGACGAAAGTGGATGCCAAAATTCCCTTGTCGAGAAAGCGGAGGGGGATGATGACACCAACATTGGAGAATTGTGCCATCTGTTTTGTTTCATAGGGCCCATAGGAATATTGATGCGTACTTCCCTACCCTCAAACAGCGGTTTCATTCGGAGATTGATGTTTGGGTTCCATAGGAACCTGCAGGCGGGCCTGCAATACCACATGTCTAGGCTAGAATTAGGACCCCAGCGGAGAAAATTAGACCCTTTTTGCCTGGTTAGTGGAAAACAAAGGGACCCAAAAAAAGCAAAACAACAAAAGGGGAGCTAATTCTGGGGAAGATGTAACATGGTGAGAATCTGGTGCTTGCATGAGAAGCAAAGAGCGACCAGGGGTTACATGGATGAGCTCGTATACACATTGCTCCCTGACAGTTGGACAAGGAACATTGGACTGAACCTTGCAATCACACCAAGAAGACGCTTGCAAGGATACTTGTGCTATAGTTGTGGCTCCGTCTATGTATATCTCAAGCCCCCTGCTTGCATGCATTGGCCGGGCTCATGCCTGACCTGGCAGGAGTGGCTGAAAACACCAAACCAATATGTAAGTTCTACAACAATCCCAGAAATCTAAAAGACTTGGTTCCCCAAAGGACCTGCATTATGGGGGGTTCGCCTTCACCCCATCGCTGAGATGGATCGAACAACCGCCCCGGCATCTATGATGATCCACCGCATGGACTGCGGAAAGGGGCGAAAAAACAATGTGGCAACTATGCCAGGTCAGTGGGGGACTGGGAAGCCATGAATTGAATATAAAGGGGTGCCCCATTTCGGCGGCAATCTGAATATCGGCCCTGTTCACCCTCGACGTCTCCCCCAAGGCTGTCGGAAAGCTGCGCGCCTCGATTTGCTCGAACTTGACCTCAGGCAAAACCCAACTCGACCGTCCCTGTTGCGGAACTTGTTGTGAGTGAAGAGTCGTGAAACGCATCCCAGTGCTCAAAGGTTTTCCATTCTGGCAACGCCGGCGAAGACCCGCCGGGCTGCAAAAGGCCGGCCGAGCAAAGCCTTTCGCCTCAGACTCACTTCCGATCAAGTGGTTTGGCCGCAATTCCACACTTTTTGTCTACTGAACCAAACCCCAAAATTCATGTAGTCTCGCCTTAGACTCACTTCCAGTGACTGGCAACAAGTCCATACTTGTTGCCACTCAAATGAGCCAAGCCCAAAAAGTTTAAACTACATGAACTCAGCGAGTGACTGGATAGGGATGTGTTGCTTTCTTCATGGGGGCTCCGGCCGGCTGAGTGGTTAGGAGTTGAGGGACGATGTGGCCTCTGATGGTCTAAGGGTCTTGCTAGGGAAACCAAAAGGAAACCTAAACCTTGGACCTTCGGTCCAAAAACGCCATTTTGAACACCCTCTTTTCGCTGGTTGGACACCATGGCCCGGTGTTGTTGTTGGTTTTGATTTTCCCGTTCTCGGCAGACTTCTGGAAGGTGAACGTGCACCTTTTCCCGAAGCCCCAGCGTCATATTGTTTTTGCTTATCAAGGAACGAAGAAAGGCCACACACAAAAAGAGGACACCTTTTAGCAGAAGGGGCACAAAACAAGCATGCCAAACCAAATAAAAACGCACCAACAGCAAAAAGAAACGCACCCACAACAAGGGCCAACAAAATGCCATCCAACGGCGGGCTCTCGTCCTCCCAGAGCTCCACCGCGACTGTCTGGGCGATCAAAGACGATCGATGACTGAGAAGCCGACCACCACACCGCAGGCCTTGACCCTCAGGGTGCTTTCAAGGCCCCAGCAGAAAAGGAGTTCAGTACCTATGCAACAAATATACATATATATATATATTATTTAAAAAATGGAAGAATTGAAGGAGGAACACCTGTTCATCTGCTTATGTTGTTTGTGTGATTTATTTTGGTTGTGTCATGTATTAGTTAGTCTTATCATTAGTTAGTTCGGTGTTTGTTTGGTTACTTAAAAAGCTTGGTATTTATTTGTCTATAAATCTTATTCATATAGTTATTGACTTAATCATGTGTACACGTATCTCTTTGTTGATCTATCTATTCAATTATTTAGTCAGCGTTGCATTTACTAAATGATTTGCCTATTCATGTACCACATTTATTTCGTGAATGTTCTGTGAGTATATCTATTCATGCTTGCATAAACCACTTGCGCAAAGACCAAGCCCACAGAACATCAAGCACCCCATCCTGGCTTCGTGGCGCCAAGGAAGCCCTGCAACAGCCCCCAATCCTCCAACGGGAGTTCTTGTTGGGCGCCCCGGTTTGGGGGGGTCGGGCTTTCGTGCCTTCCTACTAGGCTGGAACTAGGACCCCAGCAAAAAACAAAAAGCAAAAAAATATGGCATTGTTTGCCTGGTTGGTGGAAAACAAAGGGGGCCCCAAGCAAAGCAAAAGAACAGAAAGGGGAGCTAATTCTGGGGAAGCCTAAGGCTGGGTCTCTGAGAAGGGGGGTTTTAACGTTTCGGGTTCGCGTGTTTCTTTGCCGGGGGTTGGGGGAACCCTCCCGGGCGCAAATCTGGACAGCGAACATGATGCTCGGATTGTGCCCCTTTAGTTGGTCAACCAACATATTCTGCCTATGGCTGTATCTTTGTTTTGAGGGTAACGTGCTTCAGGTGGGTCATCCGAAGCCGGCCAAGGCTTGGCCGAAGCCTTGGCAAATTGGTCGAGATGACGTCCCAGCTGTCCACGCCATGGAATCTCGCCGGCCAAAAACAAGCAGATTCTACCTGTCAATGTGTGTGTAGCTTTCCGTGCTGGAGTAGAATTTTGTCCGCAGTATTACAAGACTGGGCTGTCCTCAGATCCCTCGATAAAAATGAATATAACTTTTACTGGGTGAAATTCGAGCTTCCAACCACTAAACCACCTAAAAAGGCTCTGTAAAGCTCAGGCACCGCATGGCCGGGAGTCTGTTCGCCAAGAAAAAAAACTGACCCAAAAACCAGGAAGAAGCTGACGCCCCCCCCCCCAAAAAAAAAACAGCCTCCTTCCCCGCCGAAACCGCATGGCTGGGGCGCGAAAGCGCGAGACCTTCGAAACTTCTTCGCCCGGCGGCGCTTTCTCCATGCGCTCGCTGAGGCTCATGGACTCCTGGCAGGCCCCAAGTTGCCTTTGCGCCGGGCTTTTTGGTTACACCCCCAAGGGGGGGGGGGGAAACACACAGCCAGGAAAAAACACACAGAAAGCCCGGGGTACAGCCCCAGGTGGGGAAAACGAAGAAAGCCCTGCGCCCACCCCAGGTGGGGGAAAACGAAGAAAGCCCTGCGCTCGGTGTACGCCCCAAGGAGGTGGGGGAAAACAAAGAAAGCCCTGCGACCGGTTTTTGCACCCACAGGCGGGGGACAAAAACACCTCCAGCCCTCAACTGCATCTGCAAAAAGTGTCGCTAGGAAAAACTGAATGAAGAATTGGATCCCCAAGTACTACCTTCATGCTGAGCTCGTTCTACCCCCAAATCGGTGAGCTCGATGTAGAAGAGGCAAATGCATCAATTTGAAATGTATAGTTGTTAAGCTATATCATGATGGATGGTTGGTCATTCTAGGCATGCCTCTCTCTGCCTTACTTTGCTTATGGAGTGAAGGCCTCCCGAGAAAAACAGCTGCGTAAGGCCCCCACGCCAAGGACACCGAGAAGGGGAGAAAAAGGCTTGACAGGGGGTAGAACAACATCTCCCGGCTCGTTCAAGTTCAAGACACCCTGAGAAATGGGGCAAACAAAAGCCAAACCCAATAGAAAACCCAGCTAGTGCTTGAAATCTTTGGACGCCCGCGCAAGGCCACTGGTTTTATGGGTGCCTTCTTTCAGGGGCCATAGCACCCGGAACGAGGGACCCGGCTCCAGTCCGCAGGCGGCCAAACCTTTGGGTGGGAAATTGGAAGGGCCTTCTTTGCGTGAGGGGTTTGTGACACATACTAGATGGTGTAAATTTGAGCAGATCAATGAGAAAAAACGTG